ATACAGTGATTCTGAAAAAACTCTATATAAACGCAATCAAGGAGGTTGCAGTCAGAATCTAATTGTTAGATGGCTTATTTTGTTGACAAATATGCATATTTTCAAGTTGAATGTCATATCAGAAAATTGATATAAAATATTTGAATAAATGAATAGTATCCTTATAAAAATAATTGCTATTTTGAATAAATGAATAGTATCCTTATAAAATATTTTCAAATTGCTATTTTAAAATGATTAATTTTATTTTTAATTGTGTAGTATAATTATAAAAATAATAAGATACATTAATAATATTTTTTCTTTTAATAACTATAAATCTTTTTTTTTTATCGAGTCAAACTCTACTCGTGGCTTCAATTACTTGGAATATTCTGTTATTATGCTACAATATACTTTTTTCCATCATCGATATTATAATTAAATTAAGAATAACTCATCTTATTATAGAACAAAAATGGAGACGCCTTAATTTGAAACTTATGTATTAACAATTATTTACTTTTTTTATACATAATTAGTATTTTATCTTACAAATAATAATTATTTTATTTATTAAAAATAAATTAAATTTTGTTTACACATAACTAAAGAGTCACATGCCAACGAAACCCTAATAAATTTAGAGTAAGAACTAGTACAACGACTTTGTATTACACGAGTGTTTGCTATTTTTTTCTTAAAATCTAAAATTAATGAGAAAAAATAGTTGAAAATTTAAATACCTTTTATAAAAATATATATATTATTATATATTTAGTATACTTTTTATTTGTGCAACTTACATGTGTTATATTATAATAATTTTTTTAACTTACAACATATAACTACATTAAACATAAATATATCAATTGAGAAATAATTTTATTTTTCTAATGAATCTAAATAAATAATATTATTTTTTATTATTATAAAGATAAATATAATTTATTTATTTCATATATACAATATGGATGTCAAATAGAAGATCATCAAAAGATGATTAATTTGATATATTATATATGTAAAACCGATAAGAATAACAAAAGTTATCAACTTTTAAGATACATTTATAATTAAATAGTTAATTGAAGGAAACAAATCAAAAGTCAGGATATATTAGTCACTTAGTGACTCAGTATGTAAAATTACAAAGAAATAAAGGGTTATATTAGTACAAGTAATATTAAAATACCTAAGTTAGCTAAATAATATTTATGGAATGTCTAAAGAATAAATAATATATGACATCCATATTGTATATATGAAATAAATAAATTATATTTATCTTTATAATAATAAAGAATAATAATATTTATTAAAATCCAATAGAAAAATAAAATTAATTATCAATTGATATATTTATTTTTAATGTAGTAATATGTTGTAAGTTAAAAAATTATTATAATATGACATAGACAAAACGCACAAATAAAAAGTGTCATACTAAATATGTAATATATATATATATATATATTTTTGTAAAAGGTATTTAAAATTCCAACTACTTTTTCTCATTAACTAGTATGTACCTCGTGCGATGCACGGGACGAAGATATTAAATGAGTTATTTTCAGTCTTGTCCGTTTAAGTCTAAAAAGTAATAATGTTATTATCTATTTTCTACCTCTTTTAATCAATGTTAAGTTTAAAAAATTATTAAGCAGCCCTCTGGCAAATATGTATGGAGTTATGTGTTTGTGTCTCATAAGTTACAAACATTATGAGTAACATTACAAATTATTCATTCAAACTTTTATTCATTGCAAATATATTAAAATAGTTTATCTAACAGCCATTAAATACCACTTTCAATATATTTATAAATAAAAAGTACATAAAATTTCTGGTGTGTTCAAATTTAAATAATTTTTGATGGCCTCAATTTTAAATCATCCGGACATTTGGTCAAACGCATAGGTGTGTTCAAATTTAAATCATTGGCATTTTGGTCGGTTGAAATTTAAATTATCTACCATGGTACTGTGATGTGCATTATATATATACAATTTTTTAACAAATAATATGTGCTTTATAAAAATAATAATAATAATTTCACAAGATTTTAAACGTAAAATTTAGTTTTTAATCACAATAGAAAAATCATGATACGTTGTATCGAAAAGGTGTTATGAGATAAAACAATTAACTAAAATAATTAAATTAAATAGTTGATGGAAATAGAATGCATTAATTACCTTTGACTTTTCTTACTACTAATTGTAGTAAATAGAATGTCTTTTTCTATAAGTATAGATTTTAGATTTTAAGAAAAAATTAGCAAGCACCCGTGTACTAGTTATTAATATATCAATATTATTTGTCGAAACTTAACTACGAAGCATGATTCTTTGCCAAGTAGAATTACGAAGCACCAAAAGCAGCCACGTAGATTCAGCGCATTTGGGAATAATATATATATAGAGGATATATAGGGGATAGAGGATACTGTATTTTGGTAAATGCCAAATTTTGTTAAAGACATTCAGTTGCTGATGTTTCCACCCATTTAATTAGGCCAACTGCATACATATTGTTTTGTCTTCCAATTTGTGTGGTGTGTAGCATTAGATGATGACATGATCATTAGATTTTAATCTACCGAAAGGTTGCAATCCCTTCCTATATATTAATTAAAAACGTGTGGAGTCTAGGTGACAGATTCTCACGTTTCAGATGCTGACATGGTGAAAATTTATGCTTCGTGATTTTGTTTTTATATTATTTTTGCTCTGAAGGTAAGTTTGGTATTAGACATAAATAACTTTACACATATATTCATTAACTCAACACCCATGTTGTACATGGGTATTAGTACTAGTTAATATAAAGCAAATAAAAAAACAAAAAATAAAATCTATTTTTGTTTTTATTAACATTGAATTGAATTAGATTTTTTTTCACAAAAATACTATTTTTTTTAGTAACAAAAAATTATCCATCTACTCACGTATTTTTAATTAACAATTAATATTTTATTATTTATCACATCAAATCGACTTTAATATTTACATTTTTTTATCACAATATCTATTTATATTTTTGAAAATATCTCACTTTTTTTTTACTCTAAAATACTTTTTTTTTCTTTTTTTTGTTTAATTTCCCATCTAATTTTTCCAAACGAGGCATTTGTTTTATTCATAAAAAAAATTAGAAGTCCAAGGAATAAAGTTATTATTTATTTTATTATATGTAACAATTAAAGTACTGAACATGTGATTGACCCAACGTGGGTAGGCTGGTAGTGTAGACATTGGATTATAGTTCTTTCATTTGACATTAGCATCGTGTATAATAATTAAGCTTCAATTCAATAATGTGTGGTCACAACAATAGTATTTAATTTAATTTAATTTAATTTTCTTTGGTGGGCAAATGTAATGTGATGCAAAAGCAATGTGTCCCTAATCTATATATGTGTGTAGGAAAATGAGAGGGCTCCTCCTTTAGATGTGGATTTTGCTTTCAATTTAGTCAAAAGTGACCATGAAAAAACATGGGCATGCAATCTAGTTAAAGATTTTGCACTATAGTTTGTGCACTAAATAAATTCATAAATATATCACCAAGTGTGGATTTTTTGTGTTAGTTTGTGGTCAAAATGTTCCACCAATTCAAAAAATATATTTCCTATGATTTTTCAAATTGTATTTAGAAGATACTTCGAAATATAACATCCACTGAATGAGAATTCTATTTCAAAATATAACATCCACTGAATGAGAATTCTATTGCAAAAGTAAGTTCTTTTTATTTTCCATGAATTTTAATTTGTATTCACAAGAATACTTCGAAATACCAACAACCACTGAATTTCAATTCTGTTGTATAACAGTCGATGTATTGGTATTTGCAACGTTGACATATTTTGTTAGTTGGTTTTATTATCATTTAGAGTTTGTGATGAATCACCACTACTTAGCAGGACTATTAGGACTTGAGTTTCTCTCTTATGTGGAGGTATAAAATGCATGTATCTTTAACGATTTCCAAACACAAGAATAGATCATAAAGAGAAATCGCTCCTTTATGAAGTATGCAAGACATGCATAATACTACTGTAATTTTTTACAATACAACTGTATTTAATGCAAAAGACGCGTATAGTACATAAAATAGTCAATATAACTCTCACTGGCTAATCACTAACAACTCAAGATTAAACAATCCAACGAATATAGCTCAATCTAAAATCTAAAAATCACTCACAAGTACAACCTCTTTTTCCCTCACATGCCTCTAGCTCGATAATACTGGCCTCTACGAGCAAATCAAACTAAAACCGAACTCCCGTTTTTCATAAAGCTATATCCCAACTAATCTGATACTTGTTCTTAATGTTCATATGTTCCCATGTACCCTATAAAACTGATTTCCTCATTAATCTTGTCTTGCACCAAATCCAATATGACATCTTTTTCTTTAAGATAAAATTAATAATTATCTCTATAAAAATGAAAACCAACATTTTTTTTATTCCTATTTAGTTTTCTTCCGAATTTTTATAATTTATTCGAGAACTTTCCCAAAAGAAGTTGGGCTTTGTAAGCCACGGCAATCAATCGTGCCACGAGCTTTTCAGTCTAAATTTAAGACGAAGATGGGCTTCATCTATTATACTATTGGGCTTTATCTATACCCATTTTATTAGCCCAAAACAAAATTAAATCACAAGAACAAACGCCCACTTGAGAAAATGCTTTACATATGCCTTCATTTTTCCACTTCCTAAAATGGAGAACGCTGTACGCCTATAGCTTGTGTCGTTTTATTCAAACTGTGTGCGAGTGTGTGTGTGTGATTTTTGCGAGGGGTAACGCACAGTGCTGCTTGTGTTATCGAGTGTTAATCGATAACTTGAAAACCGGATGAGTTTCGCTCTCTAGGGCTCGCCGCCATTTCAATTTGAGAACATTTTCACGTTCTTACTGTGTGCGCGGATATTAGGGTTTTGCCTTTTCCCGTGTTTTTGTTTTTTTTCGCAGTTTAGCTGGAATGGCCGGCCGGAACGTGATCTCCGATGACGAAGGTATGGTTCGAGACGAGTAATTTCAGCGGAGGGTTCTGAATGCGTCGATGGGTTTGCTAAATCTGTAACCTTTTCGTGTTTCTTTCTTCTGTTTTTATGTTTTTTGCACAGATGATGTTGGGGTTGGAGAAGAGAGAGACGAAGAGCCCTACGCTGAGCAAGGTGGTGATCGGGATGATGATGATGACGAGGAAGAGGAAGAAGGTATAATTTGCCTTTTTGACCGACTTTTGCTGTGTGTTTGTGTTGTCTTATTTTTCTGCCATTGCCTCCACTGCGTTTTGTTGTTCTAGGGTTTCATCTTTTTTATTTTTCCTGCTTTCCTTGTACCTTGGATGGGGTGGTGTGGGGTGGGATGGGGCTAAACTGGTATTTTATGACTCATTTGTAGCTCAAGAACTCAGTTGCGATGAAACATGCTTGTACTCAAGTGCATGCAGTTACAAATTATTAATTGGGTTTTGCATTTCTTTCTCTTATGAGTGGTTTTGTATGTTATGGATGTTTATATGCTATCTGTCTTATTTGAGCTTACTTGGAGCCTCAATGAGCTATTCATTTGATACATAGAATGTTATTTGAATTTTGTACCTCAACCATTTCATTGCCGAAGGTGCTATCAGTTTTATCTTCTTGACTTTTTGTCCAAGGGATATTTTTTCCTTTCTCAAATTAGTGTTGATTGATGGGAACCCCTTTTATATTTTGAGTAGAAGAAGGAGAAGATGAGTACGAGAAAGATGGTTTCATAGTCGATGATGTTGATGAGGAAGAGGACGAGGGGGAAGAAGATCGAGTTGATAGCGACGAGGAGAGGCAGAAGAAAAAGAAAAGAAAAAAAAGGTGCTTAACTAATGTGTTAATATTTGCGTTTATTGGAATCTACTAGTCAGTTGGAGATATTGTAATAATTGTATTCATAATTATTTGTTCGGTGAATGACAGGGAATCAGAGAGGAATTATGTCCTTGATGAGGATGATTATGAACTCCTTCAGGAAAGCAATATATCTGTGCCTCGCCCAAAACTTGTAAATATCAATATGTTTGTCCATCTCTGGTTTTTATTTTGGAATTTACAACATGCCATTGATGATATGTCTGTTGGGTTATTCTTCAATCATAGGAGAGTAAAAAGTTCAAGCGACTCAAAAAGGCTCGGAGGGATGCAGAAGAAGAGCCGTCTGGGCTTTCAGATGAAGAAGAGTTTGATGGCAGTGGAAGCGGCAGTCGTACAGCTGAAGAGAAGCTGAAACGCAGCTTGTTCGGTGATGATGACGGTAAATTTTGTTGGGTTTCTCTCCATCAGCGTTTCAACCGTTCAAGTAGTTGCATTTTAGTTGAAATTTAATATTTTGCTGAACTCTACAGGGCAACCTCTTGAGGATATTGCTGAGGAGGATGAGCAGTTGGAAGAAGAGGATGCCGACATTGACGATGAAAATGAAATGGCAGATTTTATTGTTGATGAAGAAGAAATTGATGAGCACGGAGCTCCTGTGAGGTATACATCATGCACCCATATTTGTAACATTTGGTGTTCTAATTAATCAGTAAATATGTATAAATTAATCGGCAATGTGTGCAGGAGAAAAAAGGTTAAGAAGAGCAGGAACCGACCAGGAATTTCCTCTTCAGCCCTCCAGGAAGCTCACGAAATATTTGGTGATGTTGAAGATCTCTTGAGAATTCGCAAGTTGGAGGTGAGCGACAGGTATGGTGAAACCGGTGAAAGAAGCCTTGAAGATCAGTTTGATCCAAGTATACTTTCTGAGAAGTATATGACAGAGAAGGATGACCGAATTCGGGAAATAGACATTCCTGAGAGAATGCAGGTTCATTGAGCATCTTCTGATTTTCCATGCTAATGTTTTCAAATGTCAAGTAATTCTGTATCTTTCAGTTGTAGAATGTCAAGTAAATTATCTATCCTTCTCTTGTAGATATCTGAGGAAAGTACTGGCCATCCTCCAACAGATGACATTAGTATCAAAATGGAGACTGAGTGGATATACAATCAGCTAGTTAGTGGTACGGTTCCTTTGTTTAACAAGAGCGGTTCAGAGGAGGTAGATGATGAACTGAAGCGCCACATAGCAAGATTCCTGGAATTGATGCACGTTCAAAAGTTGGATGTATGTCTGTCTCTCATTTGGTATTTAATTTTATGTAGCTGATGATTTTCCACTATTTCACATTACTTTGCTAAATTGTTAATGTGAGTTGCAGGTTCCATTCATCGCCATGTACAGAAAAGAGGAGATTTTGAGCCTAATAAAGGACTCAAATGAGTCTGAAACGGACATTGATAATGATCCAGATCACAAGCCTAAGCTGAAGTGGCACAAGGTAGGCCTTTGGTTACACTTGCACTGCTACTTATTTCTCTGTAACTGTTTATTATGAAGAATCTTTAAGTGTGAAAGTTTCTCATATGGTAAGTTAAAAAGATATGGTCCTGTAACATCTTGCATGATGTTGGGTGGAGGGAGCCTAGTTCAGTCATATTCACATTGTTTTAAGTGGTTTTGTTCTTCAGGTGCTTTGGACAATCCAGGATTTGGATCAGAAATGGCTTCTTCTTCAGAAAAGAAAGAGTGCTCTGCAGTCCTACTACAGCAAGCGTTTTGAAGAAGAGAATAGAAGAATATATGATGAGACACGCCTCAATTTGAATCAACAACTTTTTGAATCAATCACTAAATCGCTTAAAGCTGCTGATTCAGAAAGAGAAGTTGATGATGTAGATTTGAAATTTAACTTGCACTTCCCGCCCGGTGAAGTTGTCTTAGACGAAGGACAGTTTAAGAGGCCTAAGAGGAAGTCACATTACAGCATTTGTAGTAAAGCTGGACTGTGGGAGGTTGCGAGCAAATTTGGTTATAGCTCCGAACAATTTGGCTTGCAGATTTCTCTTGAAAAAATGGTATGCAAGTTTTATTTTTTACTTTCCTTTTTCTAACCTTTACATTAAGCGGTTCTGTTCTGTAGAGGATGGATGAACTGGAGGACGCAAAGGAAACACCAGAGGAAATGGCCTCTAATTTCACCTGTGCGATGTTTGAGACAGCTCAAACTGTGTTGAAAGGTGCAAGACACATGGTATGTGCTTTGTCCTATTTGAACATTTCCAGCATGGTCTTCAATTTACTAACTTCCTATTGTAAAATCCAGGCATCTGTAGAGATTAGTTGTGAGCCATCTGTACGGAAGCATGTCCGGAGCATCTTTATGGATAATGCTGTAGTTTCTACCCGTCCAACACCTGATGGAAACACGGCTATTGATTCATTTCATCAGTTTGCTGGAGTTAAGTGGTTGCGGGACAAGCCACTTACTAGATTTGATGATGCGCAGTGGCTTCTGATTCAGAAGGCCGAAGAGGAGAAGCTCTTGCAAGTTACTATCAAGCTGCCTGAAGTGGTCCTTGAGAAGTTAATCAGTGATTCTAAAGATTACTATCTGAGTGACGGTGTTAGTAAATCTGCGCAGTTATGGAATGAACAGAGGAAGCTAATTCTTCATGATGCCTTTTACAGTTTTCTTCTAACTTCTATGGAAAAGGAAGCGAGATTGTTGCTGGCGAGTAGAGCAAAAGCCTGGTTACTTGCAGAGTATGGGAAGGTGTTGTTGGAAAAAGTATCTGTTTCTCCATATCAGCGGAAAGAAAGTGATATCAGTTCAGATGAAGAAACTGCACCAAGGGTCATGGCATGCTGCTGGGGCCCAGGAAAGCCTGCTACAACTTTCGCTATGCTGGATTCATCTGGAGAAGTTTTAGATGTACTGCATGCTGGTTCTCTCAGTGTTCGTGGTCAAAGTATTAATGAACAGCAACGCAAGAAAAATGATCAGCAGCGAGTGCAAAAATTTATGATGGACCATCAGCCGCACATTGTTGTTTTAGGAGCTGCTAATTTGTCTTGTACCCGGTTGAAGGAGGATATTTATGAGGTATTCAGTGTTGTATAATCTTGGTTTTATTTCTTAATACTATGTTATAAAATCTTTTCTGGCATGAAAATTTACATATGAGGTGTATTTCTGATGTTCTCTGCCTTTTATAATCAGATCATCTTCAAAATGGTGGAAGATAATCCTAGAGATGTTGGTCACGAAATGGATAACCTGAACATTGTCTATGGTGACGAGTCTCTCCCACATTTATATGAAAATTCCCGCATTTCAGTTGATCAGCTTCCTTCACAGGAAGGTACGCCATAAGTTGATATCGCTGGGATGATATTGAAATTATCTTGTATTTTCTGTCATTTTGTGTTCTTTTGTTGCTGCCTTTCGTTATAGTTTTTTTTAATGAGGTTTAGTTGCATGTCTTTTTTTTTTAAGGTATTATTCGTCGTGCTGTGGGTCTAGGACGGTATCTTCAGAATCCATTAGCCATGGTTGCCACACTTTGCGGGCCAGGTAAGGAGATATTGTCTTGGAAATTAAATCCATTGGAGAATTTTCTTACTCCCGATGAGAAGTATGGGATGGTGGAACAAGTTATGGTGGACGTGACAAACCAAGTCGGTCTTGATCTTAATCTGGCTTCTAGTCATGAATGGTTGTTTGCTCCTCTGCAATTCATTTCTGGGCTGGGTCCCAGGAAAGCAGCTTCTCTGCAGAGGTCTCTGGTAAGAGCAGGAGCCATTTTCACACGGAAAGACCTGTTGACGTCCCATGGTCTGGGTAAAAAGGTTTTTATTAATGCTGTTGGATTCCTGAGAGTGCGGCGTAGTGGATTGACTTCAAGTAGTAGCCAATTTATCGATTTGTTAGATGACACTAGAATACATCCCGAATCTTATAGTCTGGCACAAGACTTGGCCAAGGATATCTACCGGGAGGATGGCAATGATGACGCGAATGATGATGATGATGTGCTGGAAATGGCTATTGAGCATGTAAGGGAGAAGCCTCATTTATTGAGAGCTGTTGATGTTCATGAATATGCTGAACAGAAGAACCGCCTCAACAAGAAAGAAACCCTTAATGATATAAGATTGGAGTTGATGGAAGGCTTTCAGGACAGGCGCAGACCATTCGTAGAACCAAGTCAGGATGATGAGTTTTATTTGATATCAGGAGAGAGTGAGGAAGCACTTGCTGAGGGAAGAATTGTGCAAGCAACGGTGCGCAGGGTGCAACCTCAGAGAGCGATTTGTATCCTTGAATCTGGATTGACAGGCATGCTTAATAAAGAGGATTATGCTGATGATTGGAGGGGCATTGACGACTTAAATGATAGGTTGCATGAAGGTGATATCTTAACTTGCAGAATCCGTTCCATTGTGAAGAATCGCTATCAGGTGATTTTAACTTCCAGAGATAGTGAAATAAGGAACAGCCGTCACCAGAACCATCGTATTATGGATCCTTACTATCACGAAGAACAGAGCACCTTACATACTGCACAGGAAAAGGCTCGTAAAAACAAGGAGCTCGCGAGGAAGCATTTTAAACCAAGGATGATTGTTCATCCTCGATTCAAAAATGTAACAGCTGATGAAGCAATTGAGGTGTGTAAGCCTCTACAAAATAAATTACAATCAACTTGCTAGCTGAATTGATTAATTTCTTTATATTTGAAGATACAACCTATTTTGCCTTTAAATTGAGACGCAATAACTCAATTATATTTTATTCCATGTGCCAGTGGAATTTCAATATGGAATATCTGGGTTATTGTTACGCAGTTACCTTTGAATGTTAACTTTATGGCCAAAGTTCTGCTATTACACTAGAAGCACAGTTCTGCTATTGTATGAAAACCTTTTGCTTGTGCCACTTTTCGTCTCGATTAATGGAATAAATACAACATTCTTTTTGAAAAGAGAAGAATTAAATGGAATATTTAGTTGTAACATGTTTTAACATACAATATTTGTCTGATTCTTTGCAGTTTCTAGTGGACAAGGATCCTGGTGAAAGTGTTGTCCGTCCTAGTTCTCGTGGGCCTTCATTTTTGACTTTGACGCTGAAAGTTTATGATGATGTATATGCTCATAAGGATATAGTTGAAGGTGGGAAGGAACACAAGGATATTACAAGCTTGCTTCGGATAGGAAAAACACTGAAAATTGGAGAGGATACTTTTGAAGATCTTGATGAGGTAATTATTTAGAGCTTTTAATTTGGATGATTCAAAAGTATTAGTTAAGGAGTATAGCTAAAAAGTCTAGATCTGAAGCCCGTAGGAGAAAAAGTTTTTTGGTATATAATAGTGCTAGTAAACGTAATGGATCTGTGTCTACAAGAAAAAAGATCTTCGGTGGTATTTATGTTATGCAGGAGGATAGAAGGTAGAATGTTTTAACCATCCTTCTGTTCTTCTCTTTGCTGGGCACTTCTGTTTTGTTATTTGTCAGTCTTAGTTTGTACTCGTAACATAATTAACCTGTTGAAAAATGCCTCGAGCTATATATTGTTGATATTCGTGTTTCGAATTTATTACCATGGCGTTCAACCTTATTGTTTTTATTTGTTAGCCGAACACCCCCATTAATTACAAGTGTGGTAACAAGCCCATGGCCTCATGCAGGTAATGGACCGCTATGTGGATCCATTGGTTTCTCATCTGAAGTCCATGCTGAATTACCGAAAGTTCAGGAGGGGTAACAAGAGCGAAGTAGACGAGCTTCTTAGAATTGAGAAGGCCGAGAATCCAATGAGGATAGTGTATGGCTTTGGGATTTCTCACGAACACCCTGGCACATTCATATTGACCTACATACGGAGCTCTAACCCACACCACGAGTACATAGGTCTATACCCCAAAGGGTTTAAGTTCCGGAAAAGAATGTTTGAGGATATAGACCGTCTTGTAGCTTATTTTCAGAGGCATATTGATGATCCGCACGATTCTGCCCCTTCGATAAGATCAGTTGCTGCAATGGTTCCTATGAGGAGTCCTGCAGCTGGTGATGGTGGTGGCTGGGATGGTTCGTCCAATGATGGCAGTGGAGGCGGCGGCTGGAGAGGGGGTGATAGAGACAGGGGTTCCGGTTCTAGATCAGGTAAATTAAATGATTTTGAGTCAGCTTTTTTTTTTCCCTTCTTTTATTGGTACTTTATTTTATCGGTGTTGTACCTTAAGTTCATTTTTTAGACTACCCTACAAAATTTTCTCTAGGTATTTATTTACCTAAAAATGTATATTTTTGGCAAATGCCTAGAGATTAGCTACAAATCCGAAAAGCGTTTTGCTTCACTAAAGGTGATCACGCACCCAACCAAACCAAGACCTTTACTACAAGCTTCATAAATCCATGCATTCTGATCAGTTCTCTTTGCAAGCATGTTATACATCTCTCTCTCTCTCTCTCTCTCTCTCTCTCTCTCTCTCTCTTTGTTTTTTCTTTTCTTTTTTTTTTTGGTTTTATTTGTGAGTATGCTGATACTTGGTAGAGGATTATTTTTGTAATGCCTAACGAGTGTAGAGTTGATGGGCTGCCATGAATGTCACATTTTTTGATGTTTTTTTTGGCTTTTTGGGTTTTGGGTATCCATTTGCAGGGAGAGGTGATTACAGAAATGGGGAAGGACACCCGAGCGGGGCCCCCAGGCCATATGGTGGGCGGGGCCGCGGTCGAGGTCGTGGCCGTGGGCGAGGCTCGTTCGACGGCGATAGGAACGACTCGGAAAGGGGTTCACAGAGATGGAGTTCCTCCAGAGACGACGAAAACAACAACAATGGAGGAGGAGGTTGGGGAAGCTTCCCCGGAGCTAAGGTCCAGGATTCTCCGGGTAAGGACTCTTTTGGCGGCGGCAGTAGCTGGGGCGGCGGTGGCGGTGCCGCCAGCGGCAGTGGTTGGGGTAACTGGGGAGATGATGGCGGGAAGAAGAGCAGCGAAGATGGCGGTGGGGGTTGGTGATTGATTGGGTGTCCAATGTATGATTTTCACTTTTGTGGTTTGAATGGCCACAATTTTCTAGATGCTCACTCTCAACTCTCAAGTACCTTCTGCCTTTAGTCTTGGCCTTTAAGTTCTTGTACTTTTTTCTTAACCTTTGGGGCTTTGCCATGGATATGGTGAATAGCTAATTTTTATTTATGATGTCAATGCCACTATTATTATTGCTGAATTTTAATGTTTCTGATGCCCTTATAAGGCAGAATTTGTTGTGGAGTTTATGCCTTTGGCAGTATCATAAATTCACAACCCTGTTTTTATCTTGTACTTATATTCTTTATTTGTTCATAAAACTAAAAGCTACTTCCAAATTACTTTATCCTACTAGGATAATGCTAACATGAAGATAAAAATGGTCACATTTTGATGTAACACAAATTTTTGTATGAGGTAGGAAGGCGATCTAACTTGTCATACATTTTGCAATAATAAAATATATTTATAATATTAAATCTCCTTTTTTATTAAAAATAAATTTTTATAATATAAAATATCATTTTTGTTTATGTTCTTTATGATTTATAGAGTATGATATTATATATATACATCAGTACATCTGAAAAAGTATTATTTTACCATACCATAGTCATGTCTAATTGTCTATAATGTGAGACATAATTGTATATATTACTTTAAGGTTCAATATTTCTATAATTTCCCAACTTGAACATAATTGTGTTATTTTATAAATAACTTATAAACTAAGGTGTCTCCAATGGTTAGCTATTTGGCTAGCTATTATGACGTGGACAGAGGAAAAGTAAGAGAGAGAGTAGTCACTAGCTACTAACAAATAGCTTATCTATTTCACGTAGCCCAATATTATGTGAGAGGAGTATGTGGGTCCAATAGTGTAAAATAGTTATTTTTTTTATCTCTCACATCCATGTCAGCTGACTATATAGCTAGTAATAGCTATTACCATTGGAGATGCCCTAAGTCTATTTTCTCGAATCAGGTGACAACTCACAACTAATATTCTAACGCTAAAATTCAATTTGTGCTGTAAAAATAAGAGAAGTGAAAACTGTCGGTTTTAATTTGTGAATGGGCTAAAATGTGCAATAAAAAAGTTTGATGGGCAAATTCAGAGAGGAGCCGATAGTGTTGGGGCTCTTATGTAGTTTACAACAGTTGTTGGTAATTTTGAGTTTCGCTATTGGCTTATAAAGGAGTCTCAGTCTCTTTCTCTCTCCTAGGGTTATCCACTCTCCCCCATTTATCTTCTTCGCTAACTCAGATATTTCTTCTGTTTTTCCGTCTTCACACCGCCATGACTCAGTCACAAGAAGAGCTATTGGCCGCTCATCTTGACCAACACAAGATTGATGTAACTCTCTGTCTCTCTCTCTCTCTCTCTCTGTCTCTCTCTCTCTCTCTCTCTCTCTCTCTCTCTCTCTCT